TTTTAATTGTGAGAAAGGATAAATTGTCAAATCAAATTGAAATATTTGGATGTGAGTTTGCAGTTTTGATTCTGTTAGATGAAAAAGACTCAGTTAAAAAAAAAAAAGTAAAATAAATTCAAGCACGTTCAGTCGAGCAAAAACAATACTGCACATTTGAACAAAAATAAAATGGGAAAATCATGCCACAAATCTTAGATGGTCATTGGAATTCAAGTAAGCTCATATGTGATGACCTAAATCGTTACCGGAACATTTTTTGGCAGAAAGTATTTGTGATCATTATCTTGTATAGTGGATAAAATCTTCTGACTTCAGGTTTCTGGTGATTGTTTTATTTAATATCAATTCACCTTGACATCAACTGTTCGGTATGTCTGCGATGTGCGCAGAATTTTCTCGTATAAACAATACCTGCAAGGCAATATTGAAAGTGGATTTTATGAATAATACCACCATAAAATCGAAATGAAATGAAAATGCATTATTCAATATGGGAATATTTGAAAATTTGAATTTAATAATTTTCCATTTCATCATGCATAGCAGCCATCAAGTGTTTAAGTGCATACAGTTTTGCAATGACAATGATATACAGTCGGGTATATGTATATGTGATGCAGTGTATGTGTGGTTAAACCCTTATCCAAAATGTGATAGAATCGGAACAAAACACAAGTTATAAAACTAAATTGTGCTCTGGAGCAATATGCCAAACACTGACAAATAGTAAACATTTGAATCTATTCTGTTCTATTTTAGCAAATGGTTTTTTTTTTTGTGTGTGTGTGACATCAAATTCCCATTTCACTTTATTCGCTTTCATTCTCATTCGACTTTATTCATCGTGTAGTATAAACATTATTTTTATATTTTGCTGTCTACTTCGTTCACACATCCTTTCTCACCATCTGTCTCTCTCTCTCTTACACACACACACACACGCACATCCACACAACACATACTCTTTTTTTCACATTCAATGCAGCATGGCTCAAAAAGTTCAATATTTTCAATAATAAATATTCATTTCACAAAATAATGCCAAAGTTATTCACATTTCGTAAATCAATTTGAAATATGTAAGCAAATGAATGGAAAATTAAATAAGTTTACATTTTGTGTGAAACGACATTTTCGAGAGCGAACTTTTCTCTTCGAGCGTTTTCAAATTGTTTCGGGTGTTAATCATTTTACGAACTCCCATTAATACATTTATCAATAAAGCAATATCGAAAGTGGAATAAATTGAAAATGACATTCAATATACTTCGATCAAAACGACAATGATAAGATACACTAAAATCATTCTCCACAGTTCTACCAATCGAATCGGAAATATCACAATGACTAAGAAGAATAAGAAGAAGAAAAACAAAAAGTGTATTGTTTGAAATGTTGTTTATTGGTTTTGGGCTTATGTGTGGCACGTTTGCCTTTAAATAATAGATGAAGTTTACTTGAAACTAACTTTCAATGTGTGCACAACAATCGTGGCAAATAGAATATTCGGTGAAGCATTATTTTCATATGCGTTGTCAACAAGCGAACTATTCCGGCAATATATTTGTTCAAAGTAAGAAATAAATTTAACTTTTTCCTCCCTTGTCAAATTTGAACAACAACCGTCCACGTAGAAAAACTAATGCCAACTTATTAATTATTATTATAGTAAAAAAAAATCTTCAGCATTTATGGACTAATAGATGGACAAACACATTTTAACTAGGTCCAACATGGAATAAACGTAAACAACAAACAACGATGCTCATATATTTATCGAAAATCGAAAACGATCGTCAACTGAAATGTTATAAAAATGTGCAATGTGTGACCTGAATTCAAAACCATCGAACCGGAGAAAATATCCTGTAAAAATTCGACTTAGATCTCAGTACATCAGGGCTTACTTTCAAATGGAATTGGGATTTAGTTTCAATCAACTTTGTGGTCTATTTTGAACCAATCATGAAACGTTCTCTGCTTCTTCTTCTTTTTCTTCTTCTTTTCTTTTCAACCAGAAGTTTTTATGTCAATAAAAAATGTAATTGATTTTGCCCATCTTGGTCTTGATTAAAGCGATTTGATGTAGGTCGAAACCATGTAATATCCGGAATATATGTTGTTATACCAATCAAAAAGAATATGCCTGAGTTTGACGCCAAAAAATTTGTTTGATCTCTTCGTACAAATTAACGACAATCTATATCTATAATTTGAACATTTATAATATGCATACTTCTCTCTCAATTATTTCATCAAACACGATGTACATGTCATTTTTCAATGAAACCAATGGAAACAGTTGACAACAATATGGGAAAATTGGATCAATTCAGAATTCATTAGTTTTATATGTATCGAATTTGATATGCATTCGTTTAGTGTGATAGGGCTTCAAGTAATTGAAACGTTTCATTAACGAGATATCATTGTAATTACTAAAACTAAACCCAAGAAGTATATCGATATAATTATAAACTTCATTGGATTAGTTTGGGTTCGAATTATCATCGTCACAGGATATGTATGGGCACAACATCAAATCATGCCAATGATCATAGCATAGATAGACGGATGAGCATAAGTAAATTGATTCAATGTGAAATTTAAGCATGTGTGTCCAAGCACTGACTATCGAAATTGATTGAAGTTGAATGTCTCGAATATTCTCTAGTGGTCAATGATATTTCACTTGAATTGTGTAGTGATTTAAATCTCCGATAATTTTACGATTCTATCTCGATATGTATAATCTATATACAATATGTATTACACGTGCTATTAACCTTGCAATGTCATTTTCGGTCACACACACACGATTATGATATGTTATTAATATGAACAGTTTCAATGATTCGATTTATTGGTAGTATGTTGCAGAACAGCACACAAGTGACTTGAATGAATAAAAAAAATTCAGATGACCTCCAATTCATTTGTGATGTTGTTATTGTTTGTTTTTCTTCAAAATGAAGAAATAAAAAATTGACATCACCGAAATGATATCGATAAAAGAAAACCAACACTGTAAAAAAAAAAAACAGGAAGCCACATATAATTTTATGTTCGATCGGTGTCTTGCACGTATTTTTCATCGCTCTCATGGCTTTACTTTAAATACTAAATTGCAGACAAGAGAAAAATTAAATAAACGTCGAACGCGATTTTGACTCAAACGCACACACGTATAAGAGGTTAAATCAACCGTGCGTAACTGTATGGCGTCTCGTTCTTTAAAGAATGAATATCGCTTTTTATTGGAAAATATTTCTACTTTTATTTATTTTGCTTGGGCGAAATGCCGTTATAATGCCATGTCATATTCGATTGAAGCAAACTAACAAAGTGTCAATGCCAAAAAAAGATATGGCAACGAAAGATGAGAAACCAAAATATAAACACTAAACTTTCATCGTCGCTTCGTTCGTTCGTTCGTTCATTTTTTTTATATGAATAATGTTATATGATCCATATGGGGACTATCGTGATGTCTGAATTCCCTTACCATGTTATCAAATTTCGTGGTTCAGTCTACAATGTAGACTTTTACATCACATATGTGTTAGTGCGTTTGTATGTACATAAATGCGATTTTTATACTCGTTTCGCAAGGCCTTATCTTTCCTTCCTTGCCAATATTTGTTCGCATTTGACAAATTATATATAGAGAGACGCACCATATAATGTCAAGTGTTGGAAGTTGAAACTGTTCTTCATCTATTTCTTTTTTCTTCTTCATCTTTTCTCATTTTCTTTTCGAATAAAAAAAAAATTAAATATTTGAAAAGTCAGTAAATACTGAGTGAGACCATGAATGACTTAGAGATATTCCAACACCGTTTACACAAGATTCATGGCATTTTGCCATATCAAATTCGCCAAACGTGAGGAACAGAAGTTAGCAAGTCAACCATATTTGAATTTGTGCTGATACAATTTTTCGCCAACATAACCATATCGTATAGACGTACGTGTTTGGCTTTAAAAACCATCATGTGTGTCTTTCATCAAACAAAAATCGTAGTACAAACAATGAAACACCCATTTTATAGCGTCAATTGCTTCAAAAGGCAATAACACTTTCAAACCAATGGAAAAAAACAACATGATCAAACACCATTGCCACGGAACACAATCATATTGTTAAACACGAATAAAAACGAATAGGCTTATGGATGAAAATAACATTAAAACAATTAATATGACATAATCATTTCATCATTTTTTACATGATTTTCTATTTCCCATTCAATATCATTTTGGAATGATTTCTTTTTTTTGTGTCAACCACTCGTGTGTGGGCGCTACACAATGTGATTTATTTATGAAGCGGTTGAGGGGAAGTATATTGTAAGATAGATTTGAAATCGATGAATTATAATGATAACATATGTCACTTATCGCATTCAATATTATATTTTGGAGGATCCGCTTTTTTTTGTGCTATCAACCTCAAAATCAATTTCAGTTAAGTTGTTCCTTTCTTATCGCGATGAGTGGAAAACAAGAAAAATATTGTGTCTTTCCACAATTGAGAGAACAGTAAGCAACAATCTTTGGCTGGCACACAGGGGTAGCTGATGTATGAGACAGGTGTGCCGTATGCAATGGTAAACGTTCATAATCGTTAATGGTAAGATAATAGCAAAAAAACACCAATGGTTTTCCAACTAATGAAATGGAAGCGCCAAATTGAAAAAATACCGGAAAGTCGATAAGGCAAATTGAAAAAAAAGTGGTCCTGTTCAAAGGTCTCAACTTAAAAGGGCAAATGGCCGGCTTCAAATGTAATACACTTTTTTATCGAAAGTTAAATAAAAAAAAACGCAACCGCTTTTTTTGTCACTGCAAACACATTCAATCAGAGAGATCTTTATTTCGGATAATGGACTCTTTATTTAATTGTTATTTGATTTTTTACTCTTTTTTCCCGTTTTTTTTGTTTGATTAACAAATTAATTAAATATAGATAATAAAAAAAGAATATGTTTATATACATAATATATGATTGCTTCGGTTGATTGTAATTCCATCAGATCATCGTAATAGAATCATTTAATTGTCGGGGTGATTTTTGTTCTCTGTTGCACGATATATGTAACACTCAAGAATTGTCACGTTTTAACTGTTGATTTATTGTTTTGGCCAGAGATAAAAATGTCGATTTGTAACTGTTTTGCACCAAACAAATTTCGAATTTTGGTATTAGTTTTCTTTTTTCTTTCGGTCATCAATGACAATAAAATCTCATTGTCAACACAACACGTTCACTTGAATCCCAACAAAAAAAGGGGTTCATTATCAAACACAATCAAATCCATGATCTCATATAATTGTCGGAATTCGGTTTTCTTTTCTTCCATAAATGAGCCATAAAACTGTGTCATTCAGTTCTGATTTGAATTATTCATTTTAACTTACACCTCACATAATTCTTTTTCTTTTTCTTCTCTTGATTATCTATATTTGATTATTTCACATCAAATCCACTGATATGTTTATTAGTTTTTGGTTCAACTTTATTTTCGCTGAATGAGAACAAACACGACGTAACGGACAAAAGTTACGTTTACGATAAATGTTTTTAACGTATTGTAAAATTGTGCACAGCACAGTATGTATGCCGAAATAACCGCTTCGTCGAAGTTGAAACGCGCGACTGAAGGAGTCGTGTAGATAAAATTCACACAGCACACATCATGGTCACAAGGAAAATTTGTTAAGCTTTTTTGAGGTAACATAAAAGCTTTGACATGGAAAACCATTTTCAGTTCGGCAACGTTCGTTAAATATCCGAACATTCGATTCGGATATGAAAATGATATCAAACATGTGTTTTCCCCTTCGACTTCGTTCAATTGTGATTTGATGGATTTATGCGAACAACCAGCCCTATACACTTAATGTTCAGTTAAATGCTGCTATTCCGATTCTGATGATGGAGAAAATACAATCGCGATGCGCATGTACAAAACAGTATTACCGTTTCTCCTCACATTCGAAACGGTTTCGGCCAAACCAAGAGAACAGCGAGACGAGATGAAAAACAACGACCAACAATTATTTTGATTCATAAATGACCAATGCAATTCATTAAATTTACTGCATTTTGGTTCTCGTCAACTGTTTCGTTGAATGTGACTCAACAGAATTAAGCCATTGAAGCTGCATTGTAATGCATTTAGTACAGTTAATACTAAAAGAAATACAATATGAAGATACATTCGAATAATCTCTGAAGAAAGTGAGAACAAATTAATAATGAAACACACTCACACACGAGCAACAAAGAAAAAGCAGGTGAGCGAATGAATGAATGCCCATGACCGAAACTGGAAATACATTCAACCCAAACTCCCGAACAGCGAATTAAAGAAAATACATTTAAATATGAAAATGGAACAACATATGACAGATTATATCCAGCGTTCTTTATGTGACGGGCTGTTTGTGTATAAACAAGATTTTAATATATATATATCGCGTCGACTACCGACTATGCGAATGTAAAGTGAACCAAATAGAGAGGAATGAAAAATAAAACTTACAACGAATAAAATCGCTAAATATGAATTATGACATCAATTTTATTTTATTTCACATATTTATAGTGTTCAGTTTTTGTGTGTGTGGCTCGAGGTTGTTTTTCGGCTTTTCGCATTTACGGATAGTCTGATATACATACATATCCAGTTATTATTATATTTTATGCATAATTGTTTATAGTTAGATAACATGTAACTACTAGCGCTGTTTTCAGCTATGCTTGTGTTTTTTTTTCTTCAATTTTTCGCTTCGCCATTCCTTTTGAGCACCCATAATGCGTGTAATTTGAAATGGTATGCCAAAACGTAGACTGCCGCGTGAATACCGAGTATATGAGTGTGTGATATATGGGAACTTATGTGTGATGGAAAAGTGAATCATTAATATGCAAACGTTCGAGTGTTTGAGGCGATCGACCTCATTTGATTTCGTTTTCTCTCCTCTTTATTTTTTTCTCATTCTATTCGTGGTGTATATATTTTCTACGGTAAAAGATTCTCATGTGCGAATATGTTCGAAATGTGCAATAAATCAGTTGGATTACAAACATGCTATTTTAGTGTTGTTGAATTTTTTTTTTACATGAATGAATATATTATTCCAAATGAATTATTCGCAAATCAAATTTCTAATAAATACATACGTTATGGGTTGAATTGGAAAACACACCACAGACTCAATCGTACGAAATGACCGGAAGAAGTATACAATTAAACTAGTGCCTGAAGAATCTTCACAATTATTCGGTATCGAATGTTAATTTTGACTTGAATTTTCCATTTGGCAAGAAAATCAAATATTTCTTTATTTAACACACCGTTGCACAAATGGAAAGATATACCATTTAAAATCATTGGCATTTTGATTTATTCGTATACCGATCGAGATGAAATACGATAGCTCTTGTTCGATAAATGATAGATTTTTAAATATTCATTTAAATCAATAAGCGATTTTAAAGTAGTAGCGAGCACAACAAATGGAACGCGTCAAGTGCAAATGCCGTATTTTCTTTGATCGGATAGTATATATTCGAGATAAATGTTCCGAATCGATTGATGAGAATTTTGCATTGGGAATATATTGTATATGATTGAAATGACGAACGGCTAAAAGGCGAACGGGTAGTTGATGTTCATTTTATATTGGTTTTTCTGGTATTGTTTTTGTATAAAACAGGTAATGACAACGAATGAATGGAAAAGCGTCATTCGAAAAGATCATTCGCATTGATAATTTTGTCAATCAAAAACTCATTATGTTTAACTTTTGCATACTAGGCGCGCGTGGGTAAGCGTGAGCGTCAACTATGCGGTGATAAAATTCCAATTCGGTATAAAATCTATAAAATTTACAATTAACATTTTGTTCTGCGCAATTATTCATGATATAAAACTTTGAATATTTTCAACAATATTTTCAAACTTGTACATACAAATTTGTAATATAATAGCATGGTTTATTTATTTTTATTCGGTGAGACACATACATATGTGCGAATTCACTTTTAAAGGAGCCACTCCATTTTAAACTCAACGTTCTCGCAATTTTCTGCGTAAACGGTGCAGAAGGTAAAATGACAAATAATATCTTATTATTCAACGTAATGTAAATAAACTCCATTTAAATATTGCCTTCTGTATAATGACAAAATCGTCTGGTAAATGCAGCGTTGATTCTTCGCACACAATAAATCAGACGATGTGAATGGTCGACGTTTATGCCACGATTTAGAGTGATATTGATATTATTTTTATATTGTTCACAACGGCAAATCCAAGCCGAAATCCTTTTGATTGGACGACTCCATCATAAATTTCGGCTTTTGTTAATTACTTCCCGTTCAATTTTCCAGTCATATTAAATGACAGTTTTCTTTCTTTGAATTGTTAACCATGCATCACACCCATCAAATGATTTACGTAGAAAATTTCGCGTTTGTTCATTTCATGTCATTTTCACCGGTTGGTTTTTGTTTGTGGTGAACTCTCGATAATTGTGTATAGTTGGTAGAGAATAATATACATGACGACCTGCAATCCATTGTAGAAAAGTGCCTCAGTCAAACCCATATAATTTGTTCTATCTAACCGAGAAATGGCTAGCATAAATTTGAAATTAAGCAGCATTTTAATTTCTGATTTGGCACAATTATTGCTTCATTTGAATGTGAACAAACTTATATATATATATATATACGGATGCTGAGTATTCTCTTCGTTTCGCTTGCTTCACTCTTTCTCCCAGTGTTGTCTCTTGCAGTGAACCTTGTCGCTTTTCATTCTATTTGGTTGACTAGTGGAGCAAGGAAAAGTTAACCATTATTCATTTACGTCATTTTCTAACGATAACACAATGGGGATTTCCATAGGTATAACGACGCATTTACAATAATAAAAGATTATAATATTGGTGATGATGACGACGATGATGATGGCACTGCCGAACCACACACACACGTATTCGAAACCCAAATGAATACAATAGGTAGAATAGTAGACCCCCACTGGTTCATCACCTCGCGCTCTTTCTCTATCGCCCACCAAGTTGTAGATGCAGTAATATGCTTAAAGTTATGAGACTTGAGGTACTGCAGAATGTCATTTGGATTTGTTGTTCGTTACATCGTTTTAAATGGCTTAAGAATTAAAGTAGAACATTATCCATAGAAGAGTGGTAAAACCGACCCGAAAGCCTTTTAAATTGAAAAAGCCACCAAAAACTAAAATGCAAGAGGGGTTGGTGTTTTTAACGATGAACATATATGGATGAGAGTGTGTGCGTGTGTCACAGTTGGGATAAGTTTCGAGACAATCGATTGTTAAATACGATGAATTAAATGAGACAAATAGAAGTGAAGACATTCAATGCCAAGCGCCGTCAAAATTCAATGGATTACAAATCCATTTTATTTTGAATGCACGAACACCCACATAAAATAGTGTGAGAGAGAGAAAGAAAAAAGGAAACCCAAGCACTGACAATAAGGAACATTTAATTTTGTTCGAGTTTTCCGATCAATTCAACCTATTCACAGCATACCATTCTTTTTAGCACTTAACTCCCATTGATTTTATATCGACAAACCCACAAAAATGCATTTTGTCCGTGAAGTATTTACATCTACATGCTTCAAAATATACGAAAACTCTCTTAATGACGCCACTTATTATGTTTGGAGTTTTGTCGTCGCTGTTTTCGTCATGTTTTACCGTCGAACACACACACATTTGGGAATTTTGCGCATTGTGAGAGCGTTGATTCGCAAATGATTTATTGAAATGATACGAAACGAAAAGTAATAATTACCCTCATTAACTTTTGTATTTTGTGCTTATGAAGAGCCTAAATGCAGACGAAGTTAACATTAAGCGCACAGTGAAATAATCATAGATGCTGTTTTCGAAATGAGCTTCATCGCAACTAATTGAAAAATCGAATCTTAATCACAAAACTATTGTTCGTGTACATCAATTTCAGTCGTATTCGTGTGCATCAGACGCCTAAACGTGCGAATTATAATGCCAAATACTTTTTTCGTTGAGTTTTCTTTTTTTCATTCGTTCTATGAAAAGGTACACCCAGGTTCGTCTAGGTGACATACTCAATGGGATGCATATCAAATATAAAGTTTTACACACACACACCAATACCAATGCGACACGGAGACACATAAATTTGATTCGTGTCCATTGTCTATCCAGCACCAATTTATCATCCGTACTCATTTTGTTTTTTTACGTCTTTTGAATGGGACAGGGTAATTTGGCAAAAAAAAAAAAGAATTCCGAAATGGTTTCATCAAGAAATGCATAGTCGCACACAACAAAAGAGCAAAGCGAACCATCGAGATAGAAAAATACAGATAGGGAGCGAAATAGATCCAACAATCATCGAAATATATTGGCATCATTTTGATGAATACTCGACTTGCGAGTAAATTCAAAAGCAAAATGTGACTTTATGTACGCACAAATCAACCAGGGACATTGAATGCAGTGCATAGCGAGTTCGTCTTGTTTTTGTAATACGTTTTCAACTTTGGTTCCTAAAAAAATGTGATTACTGCTTAGATGTTTCTCGCTCACTTAGCA